ATCTAGAACCAAACAAGTGGCGTGATGCAGACTCTGAGAAAATCAGCAGCGCCACGATGACGTCGACGCAATTAGGCAGGTTCCCTATGGAGGATGCCGGGGACTACCTACCGAGTTGTTTGGTGGTGTAGAAGTAGGGAGGCTTCAGGAATGTTGTTCCTGTAGATGAGGTGGTGCTGGCGGCAGGTGGTATGAGTTCATGCACACGTACCATGCACCATCTTGCACTCTGATGCAATTTTGCCAAAAAGGGAAGTTGCTTCATTCGACTTCATTTGATGGGATCTTGATTGGTTTCCATCCATTTCTGCACAATAGTAGGGAAAATATGAGTTTTTTTCTTTCTCAAAAATTAGCTTTAGAAAGACGCAAGAAATATTGAAACCCGTTGAAAACCACATCACAACCCTCTTATAAAAGTGGCAAAATATTGAGTCATCGCCAAGCCCAATTTCCCTTCCCTCTGATCCATATTAATTGTCGCTGCTTACTTTGCTTCTCTTTTTCTTTTGAGAAACTTACAACTTATTCATCTTCAATCATGATAGGACAACAAACATAAAAAAATATAAAAATTATATCCAAATTCGTAGACAACCTAGCGACGACTAGAAGCACTGAAGTGAGCTGAAGGCACGCCACTGTCATCGCCCTCCCTCACCGGAGCTAGAAAAATTTGTTGTAATAGACAGTCGGGAAGTCATCGTGCTAAGGCCTCATAGGACCAACACAACAGAATAACAACCACCGCCGATGAAGAAACACGTAGATAGGAAGGATCAAACCTGAAAACAAAAGAACGGACAAACAAAGATCGAGTCCGAGTAGATCCACCAAAGACAACCACCGGCTGAATCCCGCGAGATTCGCCAGAGACACACCTCCACACGCCCTCGATGATGCTAGATGCACCATTGAGACGGGCTAGGCGAGGAGAACCTCATTCCATCTTCAGGAAGCAACCACCGTCTTCCTGAGCCAGACACAAATCTTAACAGAACTCAAAGAAACATTTAAAATGGAGCCCTCCCGCCGATCGATAAGGGCCGGAATCCAGCATGCCTCCATGGCCCCTAGGGCCATCGAAGATGAGGCGGACCAACGACAGTGCTGGCAGGAGGCAGAGGAATCCTAGGCTTCTTTTTAGAGGCGGTGGCGGCTAGGTATCGAGGCTGCTTACATGTGGTAAGATTTTTTTTATTTTTTTTTGAGGAACATGTTTTTTTACACAATTTTGAGAAACATGTGGTATGATATTGGATGGACTTCTTTTGGGGGGACATACATGATGGACATGAGCCCAACGAAGCCCAAAATAAGAAATGGCCGAGACCCATGCCCATGACTTCTCAGCGGTAATTTTTCTTGTACTCCCTCTCAGACAGTAAGTACTAGTTCGTCACGGAGATGATAGACTCACGCTAACCACCTTCTTGTACTTAACCATCCAGAACCAGCAAACACCGCACAGCTTTAACCCCCCACCACCATCAGCCTGAAAACCCTGCAGCTCTCTGCAACGCCACTGTTCCGCACGCAGACGGCGAAAAGATCACGCGCCTAGGGTTCGGCACCGCCCTCCATCGAAATCGGCGGCGGCGTCGGCGCCCCTCCCCGCAGCAATGCGACCGCCGCCCGCGGTGATGACGGCCTCCTCGTCGGAGAAGAAGGCGGCGAAGCGGAGCGGACCACCGAGGCCCCGAGGGAGGAAGTCGCAGCTCGCCCTCCTCGGTGAGTGCCGTTCGCGAGGAACAGTGAGCCCCCTTGTTTGCTCGCTCTCCACTTGATTTGTTTGCGCTCTTTCGGCTTTGGAGCTCCATATTTTAGTGGCGGGACCTTGTTTTGGTGCTGTGCCTGTAGTCTTTATTTAGAGTTGTTAGGATGCGGGGATGATTTGGATGTGGTGTGGTGCCTGGGGAATTAATTAGAGGGCCCTTAATTAGAAAAGGTGATCTTGGAAGCGAACCGAGAGAACGACATCCTAACTACTAGAGCTTCCTGTCGCGTGCTTTTTACTGCCGAGATGTAATGGTTGCCACTGTCAAAGTAATAAGATGACATTGTTCATGGACAATGTTCTCAGCAACTGTTCTGAATAAAAGGTGCTCCTTTTCCATGTGCAATGTATCACCATGATGTCCAAGAGATGTGCAAACGCCACGTGATCATAAATGTCGTCTAGCTTCTTCTCACACAGTAGAACGGGTACGAGTGTCAACTCTAAATGTCTAGAAATTTGACAGTCAAAGCACGTGATGTGTTTGTGCTTGTGTATAACTGGATGTTACATGGTGCCGCAGAAGTTTACTGCTCGAGAATTTCATCTCCTTCGATAGAAGGCTTGACCTTCTGTGTGCTCATCAAGTGCCCCTGAATTTATGTTTTGATGATCAACAGGGGGGGTGCTCACCTGGAAATGCATTTGCTCCACATATACTGCTTATCAATCGGGGAGAGGTATGCAGCTTCAGGCACCTACCCATCTAAGTTGCAAATTACAAGAACAATACCAACTTTTATTTTGCTTTGTGTATGTTTGTTGTTTTACTATTCATTACGTTAGATTAATATGGCGCTTCAGCTGCTGAGAAATGTTCCCATTTTTTCCATCTTACCTGGTTTATTCTGTTTCTGTTTCTCTGGGTCTTGAACCTGTAAATAATTTACTGTATGATGTGAATAAATTACAAAATTACTTTGCGATAATTTACTATGTGATGTCACTGATGTGTGAAAAGAGTGCCATGTACTATTTTTAGTTTACTGCTCTTTGGAGTGTATTGTCTGCAAGATGATCAACGTTGATGTTTGTCCACTCTCCTTGTTCACTATTCCCTCCGGTCCAAAATAAGTGTGGTGTTTTAGTTCAAATTTTAACTAAAACCATGGCACTTATTTCAGATCGGAGGGAGTAGCAAATTTCCAAATTTAGACAAGTGTGAACTTCATTCTACCAAACTGCAGGATCTCAACATTAACGTAATACATATTTATTTGACTACCATAAGGCCCATAGCATTTCAAACAGAACTTCAGTGTACTTCTATCTGTATGTTCTCGTGCAGTGAAGTGCAGTCTGTACGGGATCTTCCGTTCATTGTGTTTTATGCACTGGGTAGGTCCTTGATCCGTATATGATGGACTAAAGAATTTTGCTCTTGTCAGGCTTCTGCACAGATCTTTGATGTGGCTGTGTTTGGTCTCAATATGTGATAGAAAAATCACTTGCTTTCTACTTTTATCACTCAGTTCCTTTTTCTAAAGAAAATGAGCGTGGCCATACATTGAGTACACACTGTTCATATGTTGTAGATAATTTAATAGCAATACTGAAAGTACCTTTATGCACAGGATATTACCTCCAAGATTATGCTGTTATCAGAGCTGCACTCCAAATCCATCTGCATTCTATCAGCCAATGGCCCATTATCAGCTATAACTCTCCGTCTATCTTCACATTCAGGTGGCCTTGACAATGCAGTTTACCAGGTTCGCCTCAGTGTTCTCAGTGTCCAACATTGGCTAGCGGCTACTACTATTACCCCATTTTCAGCAATTAATGAATTGCTTGTCTTATATCAGTTCAATGTGTGCTAATAGACCAGTACAAATTCCTAATCCGCTTATGTAGCGTGGAAAAAAAATGGTTCCCCTCCTTCAGTCCATTTTATATCCTAAAACAAAGCATTTCCATCTCTTGGTCTTACTTTGAACTGATTTTGCAGGGTCAGTTTGAGATAATTTCACTAAAAGGCTCTTATCTGCTGTCTGATGAGGGTGGCTCAGGAAACAGCAGTGGGGGTTTAAGCATTATGGTTTCTACTCCTTGCGGCAGCTTGTTTGGAGGTAGCGTTGGAGGGCCGCTGATCGCTGCTGACCCTGTGCAGGTACATATAATTTTGCCACTTACCAAGTGGAACTGCAGGCACATGCCACAGTAAAAAATACTAATGCGTAAATTCTCCAAACAGTTGTGGTGACACTGTCGATGACATCTTCCTGATGTTCTTTTCCGCCTTTGTTCTCTCTTGTGTAGAAGCTCACACAGTGTTTTGCTACCTCAGGTAATTGCTGGAAGCTTCAATTACACGGTGACAGAGGAAAAGAAGGAGACAAAGACCAGTGACAGCCAACTTAATGAGCTGAAAGTACCTTGGGAGCTGGATGCAATGCCTTATGAACCATTTTCACCTTTGCCTCTGTTTGGGTGGTCCAGGATTGAAGATGTCAAACTTGATCGCCACGACTTCGACCTGACCAATGGTTAGCTCTTGGCTTCACTATGCTGCGACATATGCATGAAGATAATACATGATGGAGATATAACATATAAGTTGTAAGGGCAAGCTATTAAAAACTTTGGTTTCCAAAGATATTTTGTGGGCGGAAGTGTACTTCCAAACTCAAATTCGCGGAGGAAAAGTAGTTCTAAATTCTAACCAAGACTTCTAGAGACATGTAAAATTGATATGTCGTTTGCTAAGTCGGGAACAACGGTGTAATTCCGCAGACTTATATCAGCGGGAGCTATAAACTAGTAATAGCAAGTCATTTTATGTCGAAGGATTATGAAATGCACATTCAGATGACAGAAGCGCCTTCTGAACATTTGCGATACGTGGGATTTACCTATGCTATCCATGATCTTGGCACAAAATTAGGCTAAGTTTCTGTGCTACGCATTACCACCTATTGGTAGTTGCCGCTATTAAATGCAGAGATGAATCATGCTATCAAGCTGATGCAGCAATGTGAGAAATTATGTTATTCAGAAACTTGACCAGACAACAACACGATCCAATGAAAGGCACACCGAACAGCTACAATATTTGAATGCATTCATTAACACAACATATACAACAAGTACAGAGTAGGATGCTGAAAATATAGCAGATGCATCCTCTGAAATGCTGGGTACAGATTTTATTTCAACACGACATTATTCTTGTTTCTAGAATACAGAGTGCCGATTTCTCTCGAGGCTCCAGCCAGCGGCGGGTCTAAGAGCTCCCAAGCAGCTTCTTGATATCCTTCTGCAGATTATACAAAGCAAGTGTTATGTTGACCGCCTAGCGCTTCAAGATTCAACATGTGCAAGGGGATGTGAATCACAGTGCTGTTAGTTACCTCAATGCTTAGTGGGGAAGTGGTCGGGGCATAGCGGTCAACAACGTGACCCTCCTTGTCAACCAAGAACTTGGAGAAGTTCCACTTGATGCTGTCGCCGAAAAGGCCACCTTTGCTAGACTTCAGGAACTTGTACAGGGGGGAAACATTGCTGCCGTTGACATCAACCTGACAGACAATACAAACTAGGGCTCAATACTGCAGCATAAACCTTCTCGGATGGATTATTCTTAAGATAAAATGGAGATTCATGGGCATCCCACTGAAACATTTGCAACATTATCACACTGAAACAGATAAATGCATTGCTTTCGCCTAGGAAGATCACAGCACAAATGTACCTTGTCGAAAATGGGGTACTCGGCCTTGAAGCGGGTGCAGGCAAACTGAACGATCTCATCATTGGTGCCAGGCTCCTGCCCACCAAACTGATTGCATGGGAAAGCCAAGATCTCAAAGCCTGTAAACCACAAATTGGCAATAGAACACAGAGGTTAGCATCCAATAACCAGAGTTTGTTGTGTAAATCGACTAACTAGTACATCATGAAGCAATATGTAGATTAAACCCAGTAATCCATATGACATAGATATAATAACAAGGTAAAGGGGAACAAAAAACATGGATGAAGAAAAAAACCTTGGTCCTTGTACTTCGGGTACAGCTGGCTCAGCTCGGTGTAGTTGGAGTTGGTCAAGCCACTGGAACAATTGGTCACAGACAATAATTAGCAGCGTAGCTGAAGAAGTAAGGTCTTCTATGGAATTCATTTAATAAAGAGTCGATGTTTAATGGCGTAGACGATCATTATTTTGGACAATCAAGCAGGACACGGCATATAATAACCTATTGATTTGGACTGTACTTATTTTTCATTTGCTGCGGACCAGACAAAATAATTTGATTCAACGCACTGCTTGCAAGTTGGAGATATCTCATAGCCGAGCTGAAAGTGAAGTTGGAATGCCAGGTTTACAGGTCGTACGTACCACTGGGATGCGACGTTAACAATGAGAAGAACCTTCCCCTTGTAGACGCTGAGGTCGACGTCCTTGCCGCTTGCATCCTGCACGCCAAGGATAACTCGTTCAATACAGTCGTACTACTGCACAATTCACCTAAGCGGCTTCTAGAAATCAGGCGCAACGAAATACCGGTCAGCGAATTCAGACGGTTCAGCAGTCTAAATCCAACGGATCGGCAGCGGAATTCACACGAAGATCCACCCGAGCAAGCAAAGCGCAAACTAGGCACACCTCGAGCTAGCCCGGAGTCTGGAGCAGGCCGAGCAGGCGATCTAGCAGCGTGTGAACAAAATACAGAGACCGAAGGGGATGGGAGGGAGAGCGGGGATGACCTTGACGGTGAAGTCGTGGACGGAGGTGGCGGACGACGCGGCGGCCATGGCGAGGTTCCCCGTGCGAGTTGACGGAGGCGGCGTCGGTGGCTGCGGCGGGGATCGACCGGGCTCAGAACTCAGGAGTAAGCGGGTAGTTGGGAGTTTGGGGGGAGGAGGCGTTAGCGTGGAGACGACGAGATGGGAAGGTGGGCCGGGACGTCACCGGGAGATTTATAGGGCCAGGCCCACGGCCAGGGGGGAGGTTGGGGCTTGGAATCTTGTTATGGACAGAGGTGTGAACGCCCGCGGCAGTAAATAATGAATGCGCGTGGCCCGCGACGGAGGAAGCACGTAGCCGCCGGGACCCGTCCGTGCGAACGGAATCGAGGCGCTGGGGTCAACTTAGGGCGGCTGAGGCCTCGCCGTCCGATCGGATCGGATGGTCTCGGCGGATCGCTCATCTCGTACGCGGAACTGGCGGTGGTGGGAAGGCAAATCCGCAAATGTCGCACAAGCGCTACTGGAGGCCGATTTTCGGCCCCGTTTGATAACAAAGCATTAAAAAAACTAAAGTATTGAAAACTACAATAATTTAGTCTACAGGTACATAATACCACGGTTTTGCCATAATAGAGTATTTTGAAGTATTTAGAATACATTGGACCTGTTTGGCAAGAGCCATTGGAAGCAGTTTCGAATTATGCGTTGAGCTAGCTAGACATCTGCAAACTGATGAACTGCTATGCACGGCACCGACGTACGATCATGCACTAACTGAATGGCCAAGCTAAACGTGCCATGCACAATCTCGCTCTTACGCTTACCAAAGTAGTGATCTAAACGCTCTTATATTAGTTTACGGAGGGAGTAACAAATAGGAGGAGGCGGTCAATGGCAGAGCTGCACGTTGCCGGAGCCGCTTGGTTTTCTTTCACATCTGGGATAATCAGGAGCTGCGCATGGAGGCAGTGGACCATACGGCGAAGCTGCTCGTGAACCAAAACAGCTTGGCCTTCATCCGCGTTGCCGTCGGCGTGGAAAGAGACAAGTCTACCAGCTTGCTCCGCCCCATCGACCATGGCAGTTCGCAGTGCACTGTACTTGTACTGCCGTTCCTTGATCTGTTCATGGCTGCCCGATCAAGACGAGCTCCACAGACAATAGGGCGGCGGCTTGGGAGCGAGCGAAGATAACGATGAGCTCTCGTTCTTTTCGCGTGCTCGGTTTTTTTAAAAAAGGTCCGAGGTTCTTTTTTTAGAACAGAGAAAATACCATAGTATTGGAAAAACTGTAGTATTAATAGCATAGTTTTTAGTGATTGTCAAACAGCTCAAAGTAATTAAAACCATGGTAATCCTAAAAAATGTAGTATTTCCGGAATACTTCGAAAATACAGAGCTATCAAACAGGGCCTTCATGTTTTCACTCTTTTGCGAAAGTTTAGCAAGATCTGTACTTTTTCTAGCGTCTGATTGCAGGGTATAACAATCCACCGCTAAGGGTCTTGATGGTAGACGCGCACACCCTATCGTAAATTTTTTCTAAGTAACAAATACATTGTGTGTACTCACTTGCCGTCGGACACATCGGCGGTATGGGTACACAGGCTACCGTCAGCTTGTTTGGCGGTAGGGCAACATTGCGCTGACGTGCATAAGTTGCATACCTTCAGAGACTGGCGATAGGCTATTATACTCTACCGTCTCGACTCTGGCTTAGCAAAAGGGTCTGATCCCGAAATACTTTCGGATGGGGCCAGATCCGGCTTAGAGCAACTCCAGCCACGCCCCCAAGAGCCCCCAAGGCCATTTTTTTTAGCGTCGGCGTCCAAAAAACGTCCCGGTCACGCCCTAGGGTCTCATTTTTTGCCGGATTAGGCCAAAATAACAGTCGGCGAACTCGAGCCGAACCCAAGCCCCCGGGGGTTGCCTGGAGGCGCCGACCGAAGCAAAAAGGCGCGTGGGTCTGCTTTGTCGGCTAGAGAAATTCCTTTTCCCACCGACCCCCCTGCTTTTCCCCCTCCGTTTCCCTCCATCCCCCTTCTCCCGCCATTCTCCTCCCTCTCCCCTCCATCCGGCCGCCATGCCGCCGAAGAAGTACGCCGCCCCTCGCGCCGCTGCCGATGCCGATGCCACCCAGCCAAAGCAGAGAAAGCCGAGGGCGTCGCCGTCCAAGCCCCTAGGCATGTCAAACGTCGACTGGAAGGCGGAGGTTCAGCGCCAGGAGGCTGTCACCACTGGCCAGTGGTACAGGCTCAACACCAAGAAGGCCCGGGACAGGGCGGCGGCGGCGGGCGTGGCAGAGCAGGTAGATCACGCGGCGGAACAAGCAGAGGTGTCTCGCGCAGGGACGATGAATCCGCCCGGCGGCCACGGCCCGCACGTTCCCTGGAGCCAGCAGAGCGTCAGGTCGTCGGCTGGCTTCTAGTCATCGACACACCCCTAGGGGTGCGCGCCCTCGCCTGGCTACGCCGACGGCGACGCGCGTGGCGGGTTCAACCCCAACATCACCTTTCCACATGGCCACCCCGCCCAGCGCACGCCCTCGCTCGCGTTCGCCGGCGTCCAGTACCCCCCATACACCTACTCGCGCCGGCTTACGCATCCTCCCCGACGCCACCTCTGCACCGTGGCGTGCTGCTCTTCTCACAAGCCTCACCGTCGCATCTCGGCAACCCCGACGGGACGGAGGCCGACATGGACGACATCATCAAGACCGGCTCAGTCGCCGCCACCTTCCCCGAGTTCAATGCCCAAGAAGATACAATCGACCTCAACGACGACATGGACGACAGGCTCGACTACGGCAAGGAGGAGCCATAGGAGGAGGAGGACGGCGAGGAGGAGGAGCCGGGGCCTGCTCCGACGAGGAAAGGGTAAAAGAAGAGGCGGGCGGCCAGAACCGGCGAGCCGAAGCGTGGAAGATCGTCTGCCTCGACCCGATCACCGGCACGAACCAGAACGCCGACACGTACGTACTGGGAGCGCATCAAGTCGAAGTCCCAGCGCAAGCTAGTCGATCCCTACTTCGTCGACGTCCACATGCAGCACGGCTCTAAGGCCATGGCCAACCATTGGGCGCTAACCCAAACTGCGTTTAACAAATGGCATGGGATCGTCGAGGAGATCGCGGGTCGCCCGGAGAGCGGCGTCAACTACGAGAGTCAAGTATGATGCCGGTCTCTCACTCATTTTTCACCGTGTGCGTCGCTCACACTTGTTCCTCGGCGCAGATGGTCCGGATGTTCGTCATGTATCGTCAGGACAGCAGTTCTGATCAAGAGTTTCAAGTACCTCCACGTGTTCCTGGATCGAGAAGTGCGAGAAGTGGGCGAAGGTCTGACGCACCCTCGCCAACACCAAGGAGAAGTACAAGCCGGACGCGCCCACGCTGGGCGCGGCTGATGGGCGCCCTGACAGCAACTAATGAGCCAAGTCGGCGAAGGACGCCGCGCCGGCTACCACGCGTTTGCAAGAGTTCATCAAACACTGCATCGCTGACGCCAAGACCCGCGCCGCCCAGAGGGAAGAGAAAACTAAGGCGCGATGGTCGGCGTTGATGGCGAACAACGCCGTCAAACTCGACCTGCTCTGGACCAACGTTGCCGCGAAGAAGAGGAACACCGACCTG